TAACTGGTTTGCTAAGTATTTGAATGTTGGTTGGTTGGATGGTTGGTGGTTAACTGGTTTGTTGGTTGGATGGTGGTTAACAGTTTTTTGGTTAACTGGTTGTTTGGTTAGTTGGTTGGTCAGTTAACTGGTTGATGAACTAGTAGGATGGTTTGTCAGTTAACTAGTTGGTTAACAGGCTGGTTGGCTGGTCAGTAATCTGAAATGTTAAACAGGTTGTTCAGTATTTTTCACCTCATTTGTTTTTTACAAAAACAAATATTTTCTGTAAACTGAAGTTTCTTCAGAATAATTTTGACTCCAAACAAAATGTGTAATAAATTACGTATAAACTATTTTCCTATGAAACATTGGACTGATCTAAACAGTTACTGTTAGTTACTGGTAAGAAATTTGCAACAGCAGTATTTATTAGTAATATTTACATTATTGCATTAGTTTAAATTAACCTCTTAATTATATTCAGTCTAACTGCAGGTAATTATCTTGTTGTTAAGATATTACCTGATTATTACATAGTTTTGGCGGCGGCGGCTCAGATCTCATCACTGAGCTGTAATAAAAATAAAGTAATAAAACATGTTGTTCAGATTTACCCTCAGCTCGCTCGTATTCTGTTTTCATGCATAAATCGTTTGTTTTGTTTCCGTCTTCGGGTCTTTCATCTCGGAGCAGTTTCTCTCCACGAGCGCTCCAGACACGAGACGACGGTTTCACAAACTAACGTGTTGGACACACGAGAACATTCAACTGTTTGTCTTCACAGAAAGTCAGCGAGAAGGTCGGAGGAGCGGAAGGAACCAAACTCGATGACGACTTCAAAGAAATGGAAAAGGTCATTAATTGAATTTATCTTCATTTTATTCAATCTAAATAAATTCAGTTTATTTATTTAGATCTGACTCGCAGCTCAGGTCGTCAGAACTTGGTAAAAGTGCTTTAGTGAAAAATCAACAAGTTGCATAAAATCTTCACATTTGACACAAATATATTTAAATGATATTCAACCGAAGAGGCTGTGGTCCAGTCAGAGATGAAACTCTTAAAAACACGAACTGTTTAAATCTGCTGCTGGTTTTTATCTCAGCTGTTTGTTTGGAGAAGTTCTAGTTGGAAAATTATAAACTTTTCTTTAAATGAAAAAGAAAAAACGACTAAAAAATGTCTCATTAACTTTAAAAAAACAAACGTCAGTTTTTGTAAACCGTCTAAAAACTTTTAAGATTAAAAATGCAACATTCCTTGATGGAATGCTTATCACCCGCCGCCTGGAACGTCCAACTTTCAAAGTAAAACGTCACGCGGTCTGTTAGCGCTCAGGAGGCCCATCACGATAACTAATCCTGCTGGACGATTAATTGTCTCCAAAATTATTGCGATAAACGATAATATTGTTTGAAATTTGACAATAATTAATAATTATTGTCAAATTTAAGATGTTAATTATGTGTGCAGTACCTTTTTTTACCACTGGATGTTAGTATAAGACTGTTTGAACCGAAGGATGGATAGTGAGGGAGTGAGCAGCGTCTCTTTAAGAAAAATGTGAGGGAGGCCCCTTGACCGGACATGGGCTGTCTCTCTTTGGTTCTCAAAATGGCGGACGCTCGGTGTGGTTTGAGTTCTTTAGCATTTTTCACACAAAGCTTTTAATAAAAAAATCATTTAACAAGTTCTCAAATTCTTTTTGCAGAGAAAAAACAATTTTTTACACGAAAACACGAGTTTCAACTGTGAATTTTGGAGCTTCGACAAGATGGAGGTTTATTCCCCGAGGTCGGCCTGTTAGCTTAGCTTGTAGCTTATCGTCTCAGCTTAGCTGATTTTAACGAAACAAAAACATGATTTTGGACGATTTAAGAGATTTTAAAGAGAAAGGGCGGGGTCAGTGAAGAGTCTTTTGTCGTCCAGTGTCTTCAGTAGAAAGAGAGACAAGAAGAAAGGATAAAACCGATAAATGAGAACGAGGTCGATAATTTTCATTTATCGTGAGATTAATTGATGTATTGATTATCGCGACAGGCCCAGCGCTCAGAGTGCGTGTTGGGAATCAGGCTCAGCTACTACCACAAGTCTTCGCTCGGTGTCTAAGAATGACTGACTTGTAGCCATGAACGTGTTGGTAAAGGTTGACTAGCTGTGGCGGCCATCTTAAATTTGGTTGGCTCTGAAAGTTAATCAGCTGTAGACGTACATCCGAACATTTCTTCAGACCTCGGCTACTACCACGTCAAACTTTAGCTCCGGTTCTCTAACGTTAATGGAGTTGTTGCCACTTTTGCACTGGCTGATGAAAAACACTCAGTTTTGTGTGTTAGTGTTTTTTTCTCTGATATTGTGTCCAACTTCCTGTAAGTGAGGTCTGAGTGTCTCACTGATGTCCTGCTGTCTCCTGCAGAAGGTGGACATCACCAGCAGAGCGGTTCTGGACATCATGACCAAAACCACTGAGTACCTTCAGCCCAACCCGGGTACGAAACTCACACAGAGTCTGGGCTCCGGTCGTCCTCCTGACCTTTGACCTCTCCCGACCTTTGACCTCTGCTCTCTCGCAGCGTCCAGAGCCAAGCTGAGTATGATCAACACCATGTCCAAGATCCGCGGGCAGGAGAAGGGACCCGGTTACCCGCAGGCCGAAACCATCCTGGGCGACGCCATGTTCAAGTTCGGACGAGAGTTAGGAGAAGAGTCGTGCTTTGGTAAGAACCTGAACCTGGACCTGGACCTGAACCTGGACCTCTGTGAGCAACAGGAGGGACGACATGTTGTGATTTTATAATTAATCATAAAATCTGTTTTGAGCCTGTTCATATTCGTTATTCTTCCAGTCACTTTAAACTCTTCCCAACATTTTTCTGCATCGGTCTCGTCCCGCAGGTTTCATCTGTTTCAACAAGTCATGAATCAAAACGTTCGGCTCTTTCAGGACAATCCTGCTATGACTTTTGGTGTTGGTGCAACTTTAGCTGTTTGAAATATTTTAGCCTTTTCTGGCATTTTTTCCTCAGAGAAAATGAATTGAGCTCATTTTCCATCCTTCAACTCTTTAGCTGTGTTTACAACCTTTTACTGCTCCTTTCACTTTTTGTTCTGCTTCAGCTTCTTTCAGCTTCCTGCTGCTAATTTAAACTTTCTTCGGCTACTTTCAGCTAATTTCAGCTGTTGTGTGCTCCTTTCAGATTATTTCTGCTAAATACATGTACAAGTTTTATATTTCTTCTAACTTATTTCTGATAATTTCAGCTTGTTAGGCTAATTTCAGCTTATTTTTGCTAGTTTCAGCTTTTTCTGCTATTTCAGCTACTGAACGCTGTTTTATGCTATTTTGAGCTTTTTCGGCTAATTCCACATCGTTTGCACTTGTTTCAACTTTTTTCAGCCTCATTCAGCAAAAATGTGCTCTCCACTTCCTTCTGGTAATTTAAGCTTTTTTGGCTACTTTTCAGCTGATTTTTGCTCATTTCAGCTTTTTTCAGATAATTTCTAATTTTTTGTGCTCGTTTCTGCTTCTTTCAGCAAACGTGTTTTTCTGCCTTCTTCTGCCAATTTAAGCTTGTTCTTCCTTTTCAGTTACATTTTAGCATTTTTTAGCTAATTTCAGCTGTTTTCAGATAAGTTCAATTTTTTTTGTGGTAATTTCTGCTACTTTCAGCCTAATTAAATCTTTCTACTAATTTCAGCCTCTAGTTTCAGATTATTTCTGCTAGTTTCATTTATTTCAACTACTTATGTTTATGCTATTTTTAGCCTTTTCTGCTAATTCCACATTTTTTTTAGCTCCTTTCAGCTCTTTCCACTTCCTTCTGGTAGTTAAGCTTCTTTCTGCTTTTTTAGCTACTTTTTGCTAATTTCACCTTTTTGTGCTCATTTCTGCTTAAACCTAATTCAGCAAATACGTGTTATTTCTGCTTCCTTCTGCTAATTTCGGCTTGTTCTTTTTCAGCTAAAATTCAATTTGTTTTGCTAATTTCAGCTGTTTTTCAGCAAGTTCTTCAGCAATAAGGATTCACAGTGCATTTTCACAGGAAATGTAATTAGTGTAGTTACTGCAGTTTCTTCTCCGTGCTGCTGGACACCTGATGAGACAAACCAGTGATGGTTTGAGAATATTTGTGTTTTATTGCTGATCAATAATAATTAATCTCTGCTCGTGTTGAATTTTTGCATCCAGGACTGGCGCTGATGGATGCCGGCGAGGCCATGAAGGAGCTCGGGGAGGTGAAAGATGCTCTGGACATGGAAGTCAAACAGAACTTCATCGATCCTCTGCAGAACCTCCACGATAAAGACGTGAAGGAGATCCAGGTGCGTGAACTCAGGCGTGCGTGATAAATGAAGCTGGACGTTGTCGTTCCTGCGCAGCTGCAGATTTCAGGGACTCACCTGGGATTTGTCCTCCTGCAGCATCATTTGAAGAAGATGGAAGGCCGCCGCTTGGACTTCGACTACAAGAAGAAGCGGCAGGGGAAGGTCCAGGACGACGAGATCAAACAGGCGCTGGAGAAGTTCGACGAGAGCAAAGACATCGCAGAGCAGAGCATGTTCAACCTGCTGGAGAGCGACGTAAGAACCGTTTGAACTGGACAGAACCGGGTTCAGAAGCTTCTCCCCTCGGCTGCTTTGGAGACAAATGAAATCCTGATGTAGATAAAAGTCTGCAGAAGCTGACAGATTTACTAAATGCTTAAAAACATTAAGAACAAGAAATACTTGAAATAAATGTGGAAAGGAGCCAGAGCAGCTCCAACATCTGAGGATGCTAAGCTAAAATAGCATAGTGCTAGCTAAACTGATCAAAAGACAAGCAACAGTATCGAAAGGCTAGCTTAAAGGTAAATGTAGCAAAAGGCTAGCTTAAAGGTA